CCGCCATTTACATCTTGCAACATTTGGGTGACGTCTCTTATATCTTAAAAATTATGAATATTTAATAATTTTCACGTCTCCTCAACTACACTAATAAAAACACCCTAAGCAAAATAAATAGAAAAACAAAATATGAGGAAGTTGAGGCAGCGTCGATTTTTTTCTTTCACACATGACTGCACACGACTTATTTTAAAACACAACCTAATAACCTCATTAACATTTTCCCTTCGACAATAAAACAACTAAACTATTCACATCATATCGACAGCGTGATGAGCTGAGAAAATTCACCGTACTCAAGTTTTAAGCTGAACTGCATACAAATGTGTTTAGATTTTTGGCGGCGACTCGAGACTGGCGCCAAAAGTAGTGGGTCACACAATACTGTTTCTCTGTTGACCGGCGCCTAACACTACCTTGACCTGTCTGCTGCTGACCCCACTTGACCTTACTGCTGTTGACACCACCTGATATTATCTTGACCTTACTACCATTGACCCCACTTGACCGTACTGCTGCTGACCCCACCTGATATTAGCTTGACCTGTCTGCTGCTGACCCCATTTGACCTTACTACTGCTGACCCCACCTGATAATATCTTGACCTTACTACCACTGACCCCACTTGACATTACTGCTGCTCATTCCACCTGACAGTATCTTGACCTTACTATTGACCCCCACCTGACATTATCTTGACCTTACTACTGCTGACCCCACTTGGCACTATCATGACCTTACTATCACTGACCCCACTTGACATTACTGCTGCTGATCCCACCTGACACTATCTTGACCTTACTCCTAGCGGTCATATCTTATACTATCTCACCTTGTCCTCCTAGTGGCTGTAACCTCACTACTGCCATCTGGAGGTTGAGTGACCAACTATTTTAAATTTTTCTAACACACAATCCAAGTTACGACTGAAAGATGGCAGCCATAATGTAGCCAAAATTACGCTGAGACTTTACCGTAGTCTCCCTCTCTCTCTGTTACGAAGAAGTAAAAGAAAATGACTACGAATTTCTGTGAATTTGGAACTGACTCTCGTGAACATGATGGTAAAAACGGCATAAAACTCGTCTTTAAATCATTACAGTTTAAGGTCGACGTGTTTATAAATATTCAGGCGCCATCTTGTTCGTTAAGTAACCACTGAGATGTGTGTTGTTAATCCGTTTTATATAAGGGTAACTGTTATAATTTCTTAGTGGGGGAATTATTACGTTTTCTTTGATGGGATTTTAAATATTTTTCGTTTGAGAAATTTGACATTTTCATCGATGGAATTTTTACTTTTCTTCAATAATATTTGTATTTTTTCTTTATTATAATTTTCACAATTTTCTTCAATAAAAATGTTAAATTTTCAGTAGAAATTTCTGTCACTGTAGTTGGTGGGACAAGTTATTTAATATTGTACTTTGTAAATAATAAATAAAATATACATAGAATGGACTATGAGTGAGTTCGGTTTGGGGAATTATATCTAACTCACACAGACACAGACACACACACACACACACACTCACACACACAGACACAGACACACACACTCCACAGACACACACACACACTCACACACACACACGTCTTAGAAAACAAATGATTAATATTCTCTCCTCCGCCCTGACCAAAACTGTAAGGCACCCCCCTTCCCTCCTCCCCTCTCTCCCCCTCCCTCCTCCCACTCTTCCCCCCTCCACTCCCTCCCTCTTCCCCCCCTCCCTCCTCCCTCTTCCCCCTCCCCTCCTCCCTCTCCCCTCCCCTCCTCCCTCTCCCCCCTCCCCTCCTCCCACTCTTCCCCCCTCCCCTCCTCCCTCTTCCCCTCCCTCCTCCCCTCTTCCCCAACCCCTCCCTCCCCCACTCACCTATCCCTCGCCTTACTTCCCTCAATACTCCACCAATCCCTCTCTCCTCCACCCCCTTCTTGACTCCCACAATCATCTATCCGCTCCTCCCTCCTTCCCTTACACTCACTCACCCACCTCCGTTTCTCTTCATCCACCCATTCCTGCCTCTGACCACACTCACCTCCCCTCCCTATCTCCCCACATCCCCCTTACCTCCCCTACCCCATCTCCCCTTCCCCTACCACCTCACCTACCAAACATATTCCCCCTACCATAAGGAGCACCAAAAAACGAAGGCTACCTTTTTACACACGTGGAGTACAAAGCTGTAAATCAACCTCACGGAGACAGAGGTATCATTTACAAGGTTACTGATCCGGTTCTCGACTTGCAGCGGTTTGTACCATTAATTATTATACCCGTGAATGAGAACGTCTTTAACTGGTTCACTTAAGTTACGGCACAAAGGCGAAATTCTCTTTAAGATTATTACGTTCATTTAACCTCTGTTTTGGTGGTATTTATTAGAATGTATTGATCAGAATTATTTAAGTTACGATTTTTTTTTAATCCAGTTAGAGTTAAACACAAAAACACGCCCCTCACACACACACACACACACACACGCACGCCCTCGAAAACACCACACTACCCCTTCCCTCCACACACACAAACACACCTTACCCATCGACACACCCATACCCATGATACACAACCCCCCATCTACACTCCCACAACACCAACCAACACCCAAGACACATCCTTACCCCTAATACAAAATCCCCCCCTCCCCCACACACAAGAACACACCTATAAACAAGGTCATAGTATCAAGATAAATCACCACAAATGAGACAGTTAGTTTGGGTGAACTTGTCGTCAGTGTCGGGGTGCTCGTCCTTCACCACAACATATAGGGAACACATCCTGGCTGGCTGGGCGCCTGTCATACATGTAAAATAAAACTGTTTGTCACTTCCTGTTTGTGTGTGACTTATTGTGATATTTTTCTAGTTTTCTATTTTATTTTATTTTACTTTAATTTATATTTTATTTATTTATTTATTTATTTATATTTTTGGGGGTTGATATTTTTCACTTTAGTATTTTTTTTCCTCATTTTGTCATGCATTTTTTATTGTTGTACTGTATTATAAGAATGTGTAAAATATCTTTCTTCTTCACTATTTCTTTGTGTGTCTTGATATATGTCTAGTTTAAAAATTGGGTGTCTGATATTATTAATTTTTCCTTACTATTTAATCGTCTGTAAAATAGGATTAAATGATATGATTTTTGTGTATTATATCAAATAAGCATCTTCTAAAGGTGTGTGTGTGTGTTCTAATCGATGAAATATGTTCCTCAATTAGCGGTTTGGTACATTACATCTCAATCTTTTTTCTAATTCATAATGAAGTATTAACCAGGTCAAGTTTCTAGATTATTTATTTATTTATTTTTTTACTTCTAATCTGAATACAGGTATATGGTCTTTGTATTCCTCAACCAAATTTTACATCCAAATTTGATTACAGTATTCTGTTCCTTATGGTAACAGTAATTAAGGGTAATACTTCAATAGCTCTTAAAGAAAAAACATCAACACACACACACACACACACACACACACACACACACACACACACACACACACATACCAGACTTCAACTTCTTTCCAGACATAAAACTACGTCATTACTTCAACTACTTACATCCCAAACCACAACCTTAATACCACAAAAACTACGTTAAAATTTCCATGCCATTACGAACCATATATAAAGATCAGATCACTCCCATACCTAAACTAAGCCACACTCTTAAGTACACGACCACAAAAGCGTGTCTGTCATTCTCACATCAACCATAAGAGTGACTGTCAATCTCACATCAACCATAAAAGTGCCTGTCAATCTCACATCAACCATAAGAGTGTCTTTCAATCTTACATCAACCATAAGAGTGTCTGTCAATCTTACATCAACCATGAGAGTGTCTGTCAATCTTACATCAACCATAAGAGTGTCTGTCAATCTTATATCAACCATAAGAGTGTCTGTCAATCTTACATCAACCATAATAGTGTCTGTCAATCTCACATCAACCATAAGAGTGTCTGTCAGTCTCACATCAACCATAAAAGTGCCTGTCAATCTTACATCAACCATAAGAGTGTCTGTCAATCTTATATCAACCATAAGAGTGTCTGTCAATCTTACATCAACCATAATAGTGTCTGTCAATCTCACATCAACCATAAGAGTGTCTGTCAATCTCACATCAACCATAAAAGTGCCTGTCAATCTTACATCAACCATAAGAGTGTCTGTCAATCTTATATCAACCATAAGAGTGTCTGTCAATCTTACATCAACCATAATAGTGTCTGTCAATCTCACATCAACCATAAGAGTGTCTGTCAATCTCAACCATAAGAGTGTCTGTCAATCTTACATCAACCATAAAGTGTCTGTCAATCTCACATCAACCATAAGAGTGTCTGTCAATCTCACATCAACCATAAAAGTGCCTGTCAATCTTACATCAACCATAAGAGTGTCTGTCAATCTTATATCAACCATAAGAGTGTCTGTCAATCTTACATCAACCATAATAGTGTCTGTCAATCTCACATCAACCATAAGAGTGTCTGTCAATCTTACATCAACCATAAAGTGTCTGTCAATCTTACATCAACCATAAGAGTGTCTGTCAATCTTATATCAACCATAAGAGTGTCTGTCAATCTCACATCAACCATAAGAGTGTCTGTCAATCTTACATCAACCATGAGAGTGTCTGTCAATCTTATATCAACCATAAGAGTGTCTGTCAATCTTATATCAACCATAAGAGTGTCTGTCAATCTTACATCAACCATAATAGTGTCTGTCAATCTTACATCAACCATAATAGTGTCTGTCAATCTCACATCAACCATAAGAGTGTCTGTCAATCTTACATCAACCATAAGAGTGTCTGTCAATCTCACATCAACCATAAGAGTGTCTGTCAGTCTCACATCAACCATAAAAGTGCCTGTCAGTCTCACATCAACCATAAGAGTGTCTGTCAGTCTCACATCAACCATAAAACGCGGGTAAAGTCACCATCACCAACACTGCTTCTGGTACTCACCGATTTTCTTGTTGATGGTGATGGCAGGACCCAGCTGGGACTCGGACAGGACGGCGGCCACGCTGAAGGTGTAGTCAGTGTTGGGATGGATACAATATTGGCACGCCTCAGGGTTCAGGGTGAAGGAACATTGATCCTCGGTACACTGTGGGGGAGAAGAATAGGTGGTGGAGGTTAGCCAAGGTATGGTGGTGGTAATGGTGGGTGTGAGGTGGTGATGGTAGTGGTAAAGAGTGATAATGGTGGTGATGATGATAGTATTGACAATAGTGGTGGGGATGATGGTGGTAGTGGGGATGACATAATGGTTGGTGGTGGTGGTTATATCAGTACAGTAGTAGTTGACTGTAAGTGGGTCATTCTATCGAAACATGACCCCTACCCTCACCACTAGTCCACTATCCCTATGATGAACTGTCTTCAATATCCTATACCCAAAGAGAATTAACTGACCAAGAATATTAATTGCTAACCTCCCCAGTCCCTATCTAAATCTATATTGTCATAACTCAAACGAAAACTTGGCGAGTTTCCTTTTAACTAGATACGTGAGAATGAATATAGATAGAGTACAGTAGTTTCTATGCATTCTCGACGCTATACTGGGCACCATATTTGTGTGGTAGTTTAAGTGAGACATTTTTAGGCATTCTCACATCACCAGTTAGGAGGAAGACACCCCTTCAGGTCCTCCCAGGGTGATAAAACTTTACGAGAGAAAGTCGTGTGGTGAGGGGCCATCCGTCACCACGTCTCCTACTGCCAATCCCTCCCTCTGTTTATTTTGATTCAACTACCTATTCTGAGTCACTTTTTCTGTGTACTGTAGTTATGTCTACTAACTTATTCATAATTTAATTTATCTCTAGTCTAATAGTTACTGTAATCAACAGAACCATCAACTGATTAATAAAAAGGTGTAATTAGCTCACTGGTGACACTCTCCCTCCCGTGGTCTTGTCTATCATGTGATCAGGATCTATTAGGTTTAAGTGTGTGCACCCAATCTACCCACTTGTGTTTTGCTAAGTGGCTGTAGTTATTTTCTGAGTGGCAGATATTAAATCGTAATGTGATTATGCCTCATTCGTCTATCCATAAATGCATTGTCTTTCTTTTTGTTGTTTTAATTCCTCTTCTATGGCCACTCTCTGTTCGTCTCCTCTCTACTATCGCTGTTTCTCTACTCCTCTCCCAGCATCCCTGACAATCTCTTTTCCCATCACTATTCCCGCCCCCCCTCCCTCCCATCCTAATCTCTCTCTCCCCTACACCTCCTGCTCCCCCCCCCCACATTAAAGTCCCACTCATACCCCCAAGCAACCCTAAGGCCTCCTTACCCTCATCTCGGTGTCATAGGAGACTGTTCCGCCCAGGAGAACAAGGATGTAGGAGGAGATTTCTCCACTGCATGCTGGTCTACGCCACTGGAGGACAACGTTGGAGACGCGCTCGTTTACGGTCAGCTGACGGGGCTTCAGGTGCTCAGTGCTGTCGGCTGAAGGAGGAGAAGGAAGGGAATATTATACTTCAGTACAGACCAGACCAGATGATAAGAGTCTTAAAGATTCATAACAGAATATGAAGGTTAAGAAGGAAGAGAGAGAGTGACGTCAGTTAGGTAATATGCAAGCTCTTCTGCTTCTTATCCTCTCCGCATCTTATTAGCTTACTAGCTCGTCGGCCATGTCTTTATTACACGCTGGAGGCAACAGCTGGGCACGCACGACCTCTTGACTGTACCTGGAGATCTTTCACAGCTGGTCACATTATTCTTTGGCAGGTTATTGTAAACGTTCATAACTCAGGCAGATTCATGCTAAAAGGTTCAAGTTGAGGCTGTGACCGTTCATCAGATTCATGTGAGATTAGATAAAGCTTTAAAACAAAACCTAAAAGTGAATACATTTGAACATATTCCATATTAACTGATTCATGTTCGTCTACCTTAAGGACGGGTTCGGTGACGCGGGAGTGAAGTTCAGGTTAAGGAAAAATATTAGATTCTTCTAGTAACTAGTTGGTTGTAAATACTAAAATTGACGTTCTTTATATATCAGTTTTAGTTCTCCTCAGGGTACACCAAAAATCTTACGAAAATCTCACAAAATGTATTAAAAAATGCTCATCTTTAAACCAGCCCAAAACTACTTTAAAGCAGACAGTTCTCTTGGCCAATACTTAAAATAAAAATATTAATTATTAAATAAAAAATTCTATAATATTTAGCGTTGATATTCTTCTTAATGTTAATCAAAATTCATATTCGAGGGCTGACGGTAGTATAGAAGGCATGATAATAATATGTACAAGATTATTAATACAAACTTCTACATCATACCGGAAGTATCTTTGGTTGAGAATGAAAGAAACTGGAATGAGGGCTAACTACTGTATACTGAATAACTAAATTCTTTAAGCCAGACTCATATCGTTATCAATAACTTTTTATTAAACAAAACAAAAAACCTAACAAAACATGAACAAATTAAAAGCGATGTTTTATGATGTCAAAATGTAATATATAATTGAAACTATGAAGAGAAACATTGGCAAAGTTACTCCCTATGTTCACACAACACACTCCGTTTTCTCTCAGTACATGGCGCCCATAAACATCGAACGGTAACTATACTAAACGTGTAAGGAAAACTGACTCGCTGAAAGTTACTGATTTTATAAGAATAAATAACAGATAATATGACAAAATTCTTGATGTAATTTATCTATTTTACAAGGCTAGTAAGCTGATAAGTGGCGAATATGATATTAAATTTGTTTTTTTTACCTTACTTAACTCTTATGCAAGTAACATATAGTAATAGTCACTTTGAGTCCCTGAAATACAAATGACTGATAATATATAAAACAAGGAAGAGAGAGATGAGGTGAGTTTAAAGGGATGGGTAGGGTAGGGTAGGGTAGGGTAGGGTAGGGTAGGGTAGGGTAGGGTAGGGATGGGTAGGGTAGGGTAGGGTAGGGGGTAGGGGGTAGGGATGGGTAGGGATGGGTAGGGTTGGGTTAGGAAGAACAGAGAGATCAGCAGACATGTAGAAAATAATATACTCCCCATCCTTGTGTACATAAATTCACCAAGACAAAGAACTCAGGGTTAAAGAGACATAATCACTAAAACAGGGAATAAAAAAAAGATAATTGAATGATGCAAACAAATTCTAATGAAGAAGTGAGACAGACACACACAGGATAAAAGAAACGCAATGATAAAATGAAGAAACAAGTAAATAAGATTGTAAAGTAAGAGCAAAGTCCAAGAACGAAATGAAATGAGAATAGTAAATACTGTACATAATTTGATACAATGAACAACAATGAGGTAAGAACGGGTACTGAACAACATAAGAATGGAAGAATGCAGCAAGAACGACATGAGAATGGAAGAATGCAGCAAGAACAACATAAGAATGGAAGAATGCAGCAAGAATGACATAAGAATGGAAGAATGCAGCAAGAACGACATGAGAATGGAAGAATGCAGCAAGAACGACATGAGAATGGAAGAATGCAGCAAGAATGACATAAGAATGGAATAATGCAGCAAGAATGACATAAGAATGGAAGAATGCAGCAAGAACGACATGAGAATGGATGCAGCAAGAACAGCAAGAACATAAACGTCTTGAGAATGGATGAATGCAGCAAGAACGACATAAGAATGCAGCAAGAACGACATAAGAATGGAAGAATGCAGCAAGAATTATTTAAGAATGGAAAAATGCAGCAAGAACGACATAAGAAAGGAAGAATGGAGCAAGAATTATTTAAGAATGGAAGAATACAGCAAGAACGAGCAGTAAACGTCTTGAGAATGGAAGAATGCAGCAAAAACCACTTAAGAATGGAAGAACGTAACAAGAACCACTTAAGAATGGAAGAACGTAACAAGAACCACTTAAGAATGGAAGAACGTAACAAGAACCACTTAAGAATGGAAGAATGCAGCAAGAACAAGCAGTAAACGACTTGAGAATGGAAGAATGCAGCAAGAATGATTTAAGAATGGAAGAATGCAGCAAGAACGACATAAGAATGCAACACGAGCGACTTCATTAGATAACATACGACCCAGAAACGACCACGGAATAGTATAGAATACACCACAAGGACGCAGAAACAAAACACCACCCCTCTTCCCTCCTACGAAACATTGCCCCCTCTTCCCTCCTCCTCCTCCTCCTCCACCTCCTACGATACGTACCCTCCTTCTCGCAGATCATGTACTGGAGGGTATGGTCAGCAGGGTAGGGCTGGAGCTTGTAGCGGTAGGAAGTGTCGGGGAAGTCGTCGAGCATAGCAGCGATGGAGGGGCCGTACAGGCTGGTGGGTAAGGCGTTCCATTCGTTGGTGGAGCCGATCTATAAACAGACACAGGTGGACATGAGTGGCTGAAGGGAACATGATGCAGGGGGACAAAGAGGATGCTGTGAGTGACTGAGGACATGATGAGTGACAGGAGAGGTCTTGTTGAGTGGCAGACAAAGATACTGTGAGTGATTGAGGACATAGTGAGTGACAGAGGAGGACATGGTGAGTTACAAAGAGGGACATGGTGAGTGACAGAGAAGGACATGGTGAGTGACAGAGAAGGACATGGTGAGTGACAGAGGAAGATACACTGAAAGAGTTTATGGTGGATGTGTGTGTGTGTGTGTGTGTGTGTGTGTGTGTGTGTGTGTGTGTGTGTGTGTGTGTGTGTGTGTGTGTGTGTGTGTGTGTGTGCGTTGGAAGGGATGAAAGAGGAAGAGAAGGAGGAAGAGGGAAAAGGGAAAAGGAAATTTAGGAGAAGGAGGAGGAGGAGATTAGTGCTCAGAAAGAAAGGAAAGGAGAGAGGCAGTGGAGAATAAAGAAGAGGAAGAAGACGAATAAAAGTGAACAGGAAGTGGAGAAAAATAATACAAAGACAAAGAACAAAACAAAAGCGAAGTGGGAGGAAAATAATAAAGAAAAAAGGATAATGAAGGAGGATAAGACTGAGGGTAACGTAACAGAAGATAAAGAAGAAGAGAGAAAGAAGAGATAGAAAAGTATGAAGGTAAGGAAGGTGTCAGAAGAAATCACACAATAATTCTCACAGTTCCTGAATCTTCCAACACAAACATATAACAATTGACAAGATATTTATAGTTATTAATTGATATCAAGGAAGAGATTAAGAAATATTAATGTAAGAGACGAACAAACATCATAAATAATAATTGAAAAGGTATTTAGTTATTAATTGAAATCAAGTAAAAAATTTAATTATTAATGAAAGGTAAGAGTTTGTAAACGAGATGCATATATAATTTTAAATCAGGTCTGACAACTCCCCAAATATGTCGGCGACTGGTCAAACAGGCCCCTGCCTATTCTAGTTAACCGTTAGAACAGGGGTCTCGTCCTAATGAGCCCAAGTCCTTATTGGGTCTAATCCTATTGGATCCCAGTTTTATGGTTGGTTCGGGCTTAACAGGAATGGAGTTTATTTAACCTGTAACTAACTTGTTTATGGGTCATATAACTCTTGGCAGATTGTTATATACCTAGTCACTCTTATCTGTGTATTATATCTTCCCCAACCTGTTTATTTATTCATTACCTCATTCATGATAACTAGAGGTAGAGGGAAGTAAAATGATACAAATAATTGCTACTGAGGGAACCAATATCCCCATTAAAAAAAATCACTGACTTCTTTTTTTACAATCTTATTTATAAACAGTTCCCTGGTGTACCTCGCCCCACTTGGACACACCAGCTGAAGCCCTGCCAAGTCGACCACCAGCGTACACAACTCTCAACTAACTAGAGGCTAACCACAGCTGCCCTGATACATATTTCACTGTGTGGTCTTAATGGGTGTGAGCTGCAGTCATTGTGTAAATCAACCCTGTGTGGACTCACATCTGGGATCTTTATTAGCACCATGTAAGTATTTAGTCATTTAGGGTAACTTTTTATGCCTAACTTTACAAACATTAACAAATAAAACAATAAAAGAAGCATGTAACTCCAAAATAATCCGATGATGTTTCTTTGTTAATCTCAGATCAAATAGATAAAAATTTATCTAAAGTATAATTTTCGGAAGGGTTGTACTTGAAGGTTGTTACTCCAACATTCCTTAATGTGCTTAAAGTTTAAAATATACATAAAATCATATCTTTCTTATTAAACAAAGTCCTTGCTTTTTGTCTCTCACACTTGGGATCTCTGATCTTGCAATTCATACACTAGTGGTCCTTGTTCTTGAATATCTTACACTATGACTCCCTGTTCGAATACTTCTTATGCGTGGGATTCCTTGTATATCATATACTAAGGGTCACTGGCCCTGTCATTTACACTAGGAGTCCCTACTTACTGTGAGCCAATCACAGAAGTGGTTGCCCTCGCACTTGGTACCGTCAGCGTACAGCCAGTTGCCTGGGGAGTCACAGCCGTTCCTGGAAGATAAATAAAGATTCAAAATACGGCCCTCTTTTACCTAAGACACTCATGTTTCTGCCCCTTTAAGATAAGTAAACATTTGAGACACTAGTTTATGTTTCTCTCACTTACCACAGTCTACTCATGATACTTTTCCCTTCACAACCATTCGTTAAAGTAAACAATTCATGAGAAGACGAACGAAACTTGAGCCACACTGAAGAAATTACCACACACTATGTCTATTGACAGTAGAGTACATACATGGGAATACAACAGATTACTTTCTCACGTAACAAAAGAAACATAAGTACAGTACACACAAACGCCTGTTAATAAGCCTAAAACAATAACAAGTAGAAGTAAAGTCATTGTAAACACCATGTGTGTGTTTTTGGAATAATTGAGGAATAATAAGTACAATACAGTGCCATTATTTTCGGAATTTCAAGTTGGTCTGTGCAAAAGAACAAACACAAGAACAAACTGTAAATGAAGAACACAAATACTCTTCTATCTTAACTTGATTTACATAATGTTCAGCTCTCTTAAGATAACGTTAAGATAACATTACCATATATGAAATAGTTACCATAGAGTTACACCAATATAAACTAAATATAAAGTATCTATTATTATATACTAAACTAAACCAGCCTAAATTAAACCTAAACCAATGGAAAAGTAATAAACCTCGCGTAGATCTAATTAAACCAGACCTAAATTTATCTAAACGTTGACAAACCTCTTCAATAATCCTAACCTCAAGTTGATAAAACCTAGTTAAACCTAACCTTATCTAACTAAGCCAAAACTAAACTAAACCTAACCAGATCTAGCTTAACTAAATCAAACCTAAACCTACACTAACCTAACTTAAAGCTAATATTATTTAACCTCAGTGAAACAAGAGGTAAAACAGTGAAGCAAGAGGTGAGTCAGTGAAGCAAGAGGCGAGTCATTGAAGCAAGAAGTGAGATGGTGAGGCAAGATGTGTCAGTGAAGCAAGAGATAAGTCGTTGAAGCAAGAGGTAAGTTAGTGAGGCAAGAGTCATCTACCTGTATTTACAAGTACCGGTACAGGTCCAGTGAGGTGGACCTGTACACCTTGATCCTGGGGCGGCATTCCTGGCCTGGGGGGGTGTTGGAGGGGGGTGGTGGAGGAGGGTGGGGGTGGTGGAGGAGGAGGTAGGGTGGTGGTAGGATGTTCAGGAGGGTGGGGTGGTGGCGGAGAAAGGGAGGAGTGTTGGTTGGGAGGAGTGTTGGGGTGGGGGTGTTAGAGGAGGGGTGTTGGTGGAGGGAGTGTTGGGGTGTTGGAGGAGGGTCTGTTGGGGAAAGGTGGTGGTGGAGGAAGTGTTGGGGAAGGAGAGGTGTTGGATGAAGGGGTAAAGGATAGGGAGGAGAGGGTAAGGGGAGAGGAAAGGTGAGGGGAGGTAGTGGTGGTGGTGGGGAAGAGGGGAAGGAGTGGGGAGGGCGAGGCACACACACACACACACACACACACACACACACACACACACACACACACGTAACGATACAGTCAAACCACAATGACCTCAACATTTAAAGGTATATTAATGGACAGTGATATGATCAAGGCATAAGCTGCAAAGTACCATGTTGTAATTAGAGACGATTCTTCACTGTATAACCCACTTACGATGCGGGAAAAGCCATACTCTCTCTCTCTTACGCATGATAATAATAGTACACAAACATGGGGGAGACATCTATTAACAAACCGCCTCTTACATATAGAAAGCTTGTGAATCGATGGCAAAAATAAACGAATCAAATACGGTTTTTCATACGAGACAACGATACAAACAAACAGTCAGACATACAGTACACAAACATTCATAAAATTACGCACTCGCCTATATACGTACACACACACACACACACATACATATACATATACATGCGGACCAAGCACAAACACCACTCCACACATCACAAACATAAGCAAACAAACACACACACACACACTGTAATATAAAAGGGGGTGAAGGCTTGTGGGTTTATAAAGGAGACGTCCAGATTAAGTCAACCTGATACATGTAGCCATCATGCAAATAAATGAGCTGATTCAGTCCTTAATAAACGAGGAATGCAGAGATAACACATGAGAGAGAGAAACATTTTGCAATAACATCCCGTGACCTATTACATTATTCCTCTTCCTATAACTACAACATCACATTTCTATAACAAGAACATCCCATAAAAAATAACATATATTCATACCTTAGTTTATATGGAATTCGGCTTTGTTAAGGACTATATTATCAGATGGGGCAAAAATATAATTAATGATCTTTTACCAGAAGTTGAAAGATACAAATCAATTTATATTTGTTATTATTTCAAGCCGTATGTTTACGATTTTATGGTAATTTGGTCACTGACTGAAAAGATAAATAACTTTTTCATAGGCTGAAGAAAAAAATTTATTCAAAATTACCCGGTACATACAGACATCAATCACCAAAGGATTAGAATACCAAGTCAAAATGAATGAGTTTCTGTGCATATTTGTGTGTCGAGGCTCCTGTAGCCGTCATAAGCATGGCCTCATGTTTATATATACTTATCCAAGCGGTACACATGACCAACCATAAGTCCTAGCCAACAGTAATTCTCAGCCTTATGTCGTTATGTGGTAGAGACGCAGTTTGTCCCCCTCCCCCGAGCCAAAATTCCCAGATTAAAACATTAGATAAGTCCTGTAACTGTGGATAAGAGGATACGGGAGCTCAGAAACGAATGCCATTGATCTTAACTTCTTTTTCCCAATATTATATCTTTTCGTACAGGTATTAGTATTATTGCACTACCAGAACATTCTGTCTATCTGTTGATCTTCATATCTATATATCTATATCTTTATATATAGGTCTATCTACATATATCTGTCGATGTCTATCTATACATCTGCATCTATATCTATATGTCTATCTATATCTATGAGTACTTATCCATACGCTTTCTTCCAGTTCATAAAAAAGCACAACAGAACAATACAAAATATTCTAAATTATTAAGTAAAGAAAGATAAGATTCGCTTCATACTGCTGGTGAAATAAACTGCCATAACTCACAGTAATGCATCCACCGTTAAGTTAAACAAAAATCAAGGGATACAGGGTCACCTCAGGGGGTCAACAGAGGTCATTGAGAGGTCACAGAGGGGTGAGGACCGAACTGTTGTGAAGATCCTCTGAACCGAAAACTTCCTCATTAATGTACACTCACTGAATAAAATATCCTCCATCCTTGGCTCTAAAACCATCCACAATGATCACTGTGACAGAAACCGTGATGAGTGTTATCAGATTTCTTGGTCCGGTGTGTCATATTGTATAGCCCAGTAAAAGTGCAGAATAATCCTTTAATGAGTGTTCAGGGTGTGCTTCAAAAATGTTCGTCTTCCTCACAAAACTGAACATAAATAAAAGACTACAACCCATTTTCTACAAGATTTCTTTAGGGGGACATAAATGACTGTTTAGTTCAGTTATATCTATATCTTTATATATAGCTATCTGGATATATCTACATGTCGTATAACTATACTTAAATAACATCTATATCTATATGTCTATCTATATCTATGAGTACTTATCCATACGCTTTCTTCCAGTTCATAAAAAAGCACAACAGAACAATACAAAATATTCTAAATTATTAAGTAAAGAAAGATAAGATTCGCTTCATACTGCTGGTGAAATAAACTGCCATAACTCACAGTAATGCATCCACCGTTAAGTTAAACAAAAATCAAGGGATACAGGGTCACCTCAGGGGGTCAACAGAGGTCATTGAGAGGTCACAGAGGGGTGAGGACCGAACTGTTGTGAAGATCCTCTGAACCGAAAACTTCCTCATTAATGTACACTCACTGAATAAAATATCCTCCATCCTTGGCTCTAAAACCATCCACAATGATCACTGTGACAGAAACCGTGATGAGTGTTATCAGATTTCTTGGTCCGGTGTGTCATATTGTATAGCCCAGTAAAAGTGCAGAATAATCCTTTAATGAGTGTTCAGGGTGTGCTTCAAAAATGTTCGTCTTCCTCACAAAACTGAACATAAATAAAAGACTACAACCCATTTTCTACAAGATTTCTTTAGGGGGACATAAATGACTGTTTAGTTCAGTTAAAACAAAATATTTTATATAGCAAACGGCTGGATATATTATGCATACATGTTTAGAGAACAAGTAATAACTATGTTACTTAAATAACAGGCGTTTGGGTATCGTAATCTGTAATTAATATCTTGAATTTTTACCTGATAAGTAAATACATAATAGAATGAAACTGACTTACAATAATAAAAAAAGTTACAGTCACGAGAGAGAGAGAGAGAGAGAGAGAGAGAGAGAGAGAGAGAGAGAGAGAGAGAGAGAGATATGAGACACTTACTGGCACATGAGACCGATGAAGGCGCGGCGGTACTGGGAGTCGATGGTCTCTGACAGGTGAGGTTTGAGGAGCCCCTTGAGGAAGTTGTGGACCTGTGGGGTCTTGTCGGTGGCCAGCGCCGCCCCGTCACCCTGACACCTGTGGGGAGAAGGAGGTTGTGAGTGGCTGGTGAGAGGAGGGAAGGGGAAAGGGGTTTGTGTAAGCCTAGTGAGAATGGGGAAGAAGAGGGTTGTGTGAGGGTCTGGTGAGAGGGGTTTGTGAGTCTGGCGAGAGAGGGGAAGGGGAGAGAGGTTGTGTGAGTCTAGTGAGAGTGAGGAAGGAGGAGTGGGTTTTGTGAGAGTCTAGTGAGAGAGGGGGAAGAGGGGTCTGCGAGATGAGAAAAGAGTAGTTTTTGTGAGCATGTGTGAGTGGGGAGGGGAAGAGATTATTTTATAAAACAGGGAAGGGGAATTTCTGAGTGGGTTTGTGAGGAGCTGGTGAGAGAGAGAGAGAGGAGGGGGGGGGGTTGTTTGTGAGAATAAGAGGCATTATGAGACATAAATATGCTGTGTTATTCTAGTATCACAAAACAATCAATAAATGTTACCAGATAGAGAAGCTAATTTCAGCTAAATTTACAAAGTTATGGAAATCTGACGAAAGCGAAGTTTAATTCTCATTTTACTAAGATATCAAGCAAAGTGGTCAACAGAAACTGATTTTAATTGTGGTTTTACAAAGTTATTTTATTATTTAGGTTAAATAAAGATATCTTTAATTAATTTTAACATCTATCACAAAGCTAACTAGAAAATTAAATCCAATAAAGTAACTTAAACATAAGAAAAATCTAAGTCTTTCCAACATAGTTAAAAAGTTAATAAGAAAATTAAATACAGGTATAATAAAATGGACTAAAAGAGTTTAATTAATTTTATCATCTATTACAAATCTAACCTGGAAATTAAACAAACCAAAGTCAATTTACCAGTACTGTACAACTCAAGTGAAAAAACATAAAAATAAAGAAAATCAACTAGGCTCTGGCAACACTGATCATCCTTGATAACAAATGTCAAATGTTCACACTGATGAACAAATCAGTTTACAACACTGATTACTGAACATTAATAGTAACTAAAAAAATAAATAAACTAACTGTAAATAAATTAAAATAAATTACATGGTATATCTTCTTTACATGTCCCCCTAACCCCACCCACCCACTCCAGAACAATGTTACCAACTCTAAAAAACTAGAATATCAAGTCAACAGAAAACGGAAAATAGTGACCAGAGGGGACTGATCAAAAACTGGATTGCTACATGTAAACTTATAATCATTATCCCTGTGTGTGTGTGTGTGTGTGTGTGTGTGTGTGTGTGTGTGTGTGTCCTTGTAGCTTTAACCTCTGTTATTATCCTCACTATTAATAACTTGTCCTGTTATTCTATCCTTGACTTTCATCTATTGTTTAACGCCAATTATCCATCAATTTCATACAATCTATCCATTATTAATCCAGCTCATCCATCTATCCTCTATAATCTATATTCATCCATCCCCTCACTAATAATCCAGCTCATCCAACTATCTGTTATAATCCATCCTTTATCCTCCCACCTCATCCAACTATCCATCTGTTCTCTATAACCTATCCATTATAGCTCTATCTATCCTTATCTAATGATCGATCTCATCTCTCCTCGTCTAGCCCTACCCATTTCTCCTAGGCCAACGCGTCTCCTTCTAGTTCTACCCACCTCCTCCTAGCCCCACCCACCTCCTCCTAGCCCAACCCGTCTCCTTCTAGTCCTCCTAGCCCAACCCGTCTCCTTCTAGTTCTACCCACCTCCTCCTAGCCCCACCCACCTCCTCCTAGCCCAACTCATCCCCACCTAGCCAATGTTGACTCTTTGTAATCCTAATCCCTAGACATACTCCCTTTTCTAATCCCATCCAATCCCACTAATCACCTAATCCAGGAACTTACCATTTCCAAATCCATCCCAATCCATCAAATCCTTGGGTATAATCTCTTAATAATCACATCCAAGCCCCTGCCAATCACCCACCCCCCCCTCCCTCCCTCACTCCACCTAATCCATGGACTTACTGTCTCTGTGCAGAAGAGAAGTCGATAGGGGACTCCGTCTTGAGCACCTTGTAACACTGGTTTTGGAATTTGGTGTACCCAGGTTCGCACACGTCTGTCGGAACAAAGGTATAATGTTAAGAACTACTGAGATTATTTAATGAGATTAGGACATGACACGACAATAAATGCTGGGATTATGAAGTGAGATTAGGACATGACACGACAATAAATGCTGGGATTATGAAGTGAGATTAGGACATGACACGACAATAAATGCTGGGATTATTTAGTGGCATTATGAAATGATTTTGTGCTGAGATTAAATATTAAAACTGGAACATAACAAAAAAAACTGGGATCATAAAAAATAAATGTAAATAAAATACCTGAAACAACAATACATAGAAAAGATTAATAGAGAGAATATGACTAATTAAGGAAAATAAATGAAAAAAAAAGAGAAAAAAAAAAGATTGCCACGCCAAATACTCGATAATATATGACAAAAACATGAAGTGGTTAGGTTAAGTGACAAAACATAAAGTAATAACAGTAAAATTTAAAATAAAAGAAAAAAACAAAATCCTGTGAAAAGAAAAAAATGGGGAATGCGTTATGAAGACTACGAGTACTCCATAGAAAACGTGAATTGTGCGTAACGAGTGAAGTGTATCAAAGAAAGCAAGAAACCTGGAGAGAGAGAGAGAGAGAGAGAGAGAGAGAGAGAGAGAGAGAGAGAGAGAGGTAAAAAATGAACGAAATGGATGACAAGGAACAGGGAGGAAAGGCAGTCAAAAGCAGAATAAATAACTTAAATAAAAATAAAGGTTGAATAATTGGATAGAGACAATGAAACGAAGAATTTTATAATAATGATGAAAATGATAATAATGCTGCTGATGATGATGATAATAATAATGAATATGATAATGATGGTGGTAATAATAATAATAATGATAATAAGAAGAAGATGAAGTAAAATATAATCAACAAGAAAGGGAGGAGACAGGCAAAACATACAAACAAAAAGTAATAGAAGAAACACATGATAATAAAGGAGAGGGGAAACAACAATAAACAAGGAAATGGAGAAAAAAGGTGAAGATAAACCAAGGAAATAGCAAACAACACTAAACAAAGAAGAGGGAAAACAGGTGATAATAAACAAAAGAAAACAGGAAAAACAGGCAATAAGAATAAAGGGAAAGAGAGAACACGATACTAACAAGGAAAACAGGAAACAGGTAATAATAACGATAAATAAGGAAGAGAGAAATCTTAAAGTAATTGTGAGGTACAGACAAGTGTGAAGGAGAACAAGTGAGAAAATTAATAAACGAGATGAAAAACAGTGGAAGCAAAAAGACACGATAAAAATAATATGTAAGAACATTGTTTTTCATCTCGTGTGTGTGTGTGTGTGTGTGTGTGTGTGTGTGTGTGTGTGTGAATGTAATTACGTATATGAAATGTGTGTATGAATGCATGTACTGTGTGTACTTATGCATGTATGAATGTAAATATGTATGTATGTATGTATGTATGTATGTATGTATGTATGTATGTATGTAAGTATGTATGTATGTATGTATAAGTTACAAAAACAAAACAAACACTAATCAATAATAATAAAAAAATAAACACACCAACAATTAAAAGCTGAAAAAAACAACAACAGTAAGACTCAAAAGTAGTCAGTACAGTATATGTAAGAAGTGACCAACCCCCATTAACTCTCCTTCGGCATCCCCAAGAACAAGTCTGTCAGTTTATAACAAAAAATAATAAATAAACTTGAACAGGACCATGCAGGCCAATGTTGATCTTACCGTCGTCCACCGCGGCGCACGTTGCCACTCCCCTTGATGGCCTCAAGGACTCCCAGCCAGACAGAAACCATTCGAGAAGGTTTGAAGCCGATTCAAGCCAAGTCGACGTTTCTGAGCTATTCTGTAAGCTTTCCGTGTCGTTTGAAGTCGATTGAAGCTGTATCAAGATTTCTGAGCTATTCTGGGGTTGTTCGGGGTCGTTCGAAGTCGTCTCAAGCTGTATCAAGATTTCCGAGCTGTTCTGTAAGCTTTCCGTGTCGTTTGAAGTCGATTGAAGCTGTATCAAGATTTCTGAGCTATTCTGGGGTTGTTCGGGGTCGTTCGAAGTCGTCTCAAGCTGTATCAAGATTTCTGAGCTATTCTGTAAGCTTTCCGTGTCGTTTGAAGTCGATTGAAGCTGTATCAAGATTTCTGAGCTATTCTGGGGTTGTTCGGGGTCGTTCGAAGTCGTCTCAAGCTGTATCGAAATTTCTGAGCTATTCTGTAGGCTTTCGGAGTCGTTTGAAGCTGTTTGAAGCTGTATTGGGATTTCTGAGTTATTTTGGGGGCGTTCAGGGTCGTTTACAGCCATTTGAAGATTTGTCGAGATTTCCGAACCTTTCTGGAGACGTTCGGAGCCGCCTGGTTGTAAGACAGTGGAGGTGACCGTAGCGTTGAGCAGTACCGTCGGAAGCTGATTCGAACCACCCGAGCCATTCTGGAAACGATCGGACTCTGGGTGGAGGATGACGGAGGTGATTGTGGCGTTGACCAGCACCTCCTTGACCTGCTTCTCCCTCAACAACAGGACAACTGGCACCGTCACGAACACACACACAAAAACTAAGGCGCACGTCACAAAGACGGGAATCCGTTTCCGAACCGAGGAAACCATGGCAGGGACCCGTGTGTGCCAGGACGTCCCTTAGTGTGGACTCTTTTTGACGAGTATCCTGCGGGAACCTGAAGTAATCTAGGCTGGTCGAGTTAAATGCTACCTGATGGCCTTGTGGGATGCCGTCCAGTCCTGCTCCAGCTGAGGGCGGGTTTGTTTACGTTTCCTATTTTCTACGCGGTGATCACTGCCCAGGTCTCTTAGGGGAGCCTCATCTGTTTGTATGGTGTGTGATCGATGATGGATTTTTGCATTTGTTGGTAAAAAAGATCATTCATGGAAGACCTTCTTGATTAAGAGCGTATAAGAAAAACAGTGAATATCATATGCTCAGAATTCTATTCATATTTTCTTTCTTGCCATAGGTCCTATAAACTCTTGGTTTATGCAGATTTTTTTCCGACTATCCATCAATAAGGACTACACCTCGGTCCCCTGCCTCTGTACTGTAACGCATATATAATCCAAGCTGTGGCCACCACTGACCACACGCCCACGCCCCCAACCTGACCTTTACTGCGATATAAGGACAAGAGAGACACTAGAGTCGTAACCACAGGAGTAACTCAAGATGGCGCCACGTCCCCTGCATGACTGTGGTCACGAGGAGCCCCCACACACCTTTTCCTTCAGTACTTGGTTCAGTGTTAACAGGTTGGAACTCAGTGTCCTTGATGAACTGGTGGAAAGTCGGGCTTTCTATTTTCATTTACGTATTTATTGACGATTTGTTTTGTTTTTGTCAAATTACTGTCAAAATGGCGACGGGATGACACGTAGACTATAACTAGCTACAGGAGGAAAAATACAACGTAGGAATAATAAACATTCCACACACAACAACTTGTACGGCGCAGATCAAGTCGTGACCGTCACTGGCTGGCACAAAAGGGGTTCTTGCAGGCGCTGAGGGCCAAAGTGACCTTAACGTGTACTGTATATTAAATAAATGGTTCAAAAATTATCGACAGCTGAATATTTTTCTTCTCCGCGTGTCTCTATTTCAACACTGCCTCTCCCCCTCACTTCACGAATCCCCCTTCTCGCCCCTCCTCCCTCCTCTCCCTCCTCACGCTGACACAGTTACGTCATCACAGGTGTGGTCACAGGCAGTAATTAACCCTACCCAGGTCGGTTAAACGGACAGTGTCATTAAAGGAACGTCAGTACGAGCATTCATCATCGCCTGGCGCTCACCTCCAGTTATGCCAGATGAACGTAATAAGACACATTCACTTAACTCTTTTAATTACGAGGAATAATTACGTACGAATAATTGAGAATTGACTTTACGAGCGTCAAAACTTACGCCAGGCTAACCTTCGCCCACCTGTGTACTTCCCCATCTCTAGTTACGAGAAAAATAACAAACATGAAAGTTGGATTAATGATCTAGGACTCAGGTGTGTGGGATAGATCCAGAACTCAGGTGTGTGGGATAGATCTAGGACTCAGGTGTGTGGGATAGATCTAGGACTCAGATGTGTGGGATAGATCTAGGACTCAGGTGTGTAGGATAGATCTAGGACTCAGGTGTGTGGTATAGACAGGAACTAAACCGTGAGACAGACAGACGGTTCCTTCCTGGCCCCCGTCGTCCCCTTCACTGACGGCCAGTTCAAGGTGGACAGGGAACACTTGGCGATGGTCTTTGTTGTGTGTGTGAGAGCCTCGACTGTACTGCTGCCCTGTCTGTTTGTCTGTCTTTGTCTACCTCCCCACCTTTCTGTCTATTTTCCTGTCTTGTTTCCATCTTTCTGTTTTCCTTACTTATCTATCTGTCTGTCTGTCTCTAGTCTACCTGTATATTTTTGGCTTTAGTGGCTCTCTGTCTACCTGTCTCTCTGTCAGTCTTTCTATCTGTATTTATTTGTTTATACCTCACTGTCAAATCTCTCTCTCTCTCTCTCTCTCTCTCTCTCTCTCTCTCTCTCTCTCTCTAATAACACTAAGCTAAAAATATAATGCAAATAAATAACTTTAAGTAACTAAAGAATTATAATTACATCACATCAAGGCCTGACCTTTAATAGATAAAATGTGACTACCTCTCCCGTGATGCCCAGAAGGGAGGGTTAAGAAGTGGTGGGAGGGAAGGAGGGAAGGAGGGAGGGTTAAGGGGATGGGAGAGAAGGTGGGGGTGAGAGAAGAGTGAGGTGGTGCGTAGGTGAGAGGGAGAGAGGGGTGGTAAGGGAGGGAGAGAAAGAGGAGGTAATGATGGAGGAAGGATGTGGAGAGGAAGGGAAAGGGGAGGGAGTAAATTTATAGGCGAGAGGAGGGTGAGAGGGGAGTGAGGTGAGGGAGTGTGAGGTGAGAGGAGGAGATGAGAGGGAGAGGTGAGAGGGAGGGAGGACTGAGAAGTGAGGGGGAGAGATGAGACGGAGAGGTGAGAGGGAGGGGTGAGAGGGA